CATTAAAAAAACCCAAACAAAATAGCCCAAGCAATTTTGTCCATGATGGCCAGTGTTTAATTTTCTTAACCTTATGCTTGAACTCTGCATGTAGTCATTGCTTATTGCCACTGGATTACTGTTGTCCACATGAATCAACCCTCAGTCAGACCAAATGAGGAATTAAGTGATGTTCTCCATCCTGGCTTGACGAGCCTTTGCTTGCACAGAAATGTGTTACTTGACTCTAGGTGCTTAAACCTGGCATACATACAAAGGCATTGTCATCCAAAAAGTTATTGTTTCAAGAGTTGAGAAAAACTGGATTCTAATATTGATTTCAGAAGTTAAAAGGCTGCTCAGAAAGGTTGTTCTCGAGTCCCATATAAGGCTCAAAATTAAGGAGCCAGAAAGTAACTATTTGCCTTTTGCCTCCAGATAAACTACACCAACATGGATAGAACAAGTCAAAAACATAGCCTTGCTAATGAGTTAACCTGCTACAGCTAACTCCTAAATACAAGGTACAATAGTTTATAGCACTCACATGAAATATTCAACTGTAAGTCCAGAGCATATCTACGCTTTATCCCTTGACTATCCACTGACAAACAGGAATCTGTTAGCAGAATCGCCAGAACAATATTGTAACATTTTCATCTTTATTTCACCCATTCATTTCCAGACCTGACTGACATTTTTATTCTGCGGCACTCCAAATCCTAAATTTTGTACAAACAGAACTATTTAGACAAATACAGGTTTATATGGAATGACAGAACCTCGAGCATTCCAATTTCTGGTACTTGCATGACATGGATTTTGTAGTATTGGATGAGAATAACTTTTTGTAGCGAATACATTTCTCAATGAAATACCTAATTTTTAAACACGATCCTTGCCTGAGACAGGCAAAACTGCTGAAATAGGGCAAATCTTTGCTCCAATGAACACATTACGTAGAGATAAACATATGTTTACTATGGAATGCACATGAAAATGCAGACCATTATAGCTCTCTAAAAGGAAAACCAAATGATACACAAGTTTACAAACCTGTATTTGTCACATTCACACTCTTCATTACAAGGTACAAATATATGGCAAGGATAAAAAGCATCTATTAGATCATACACATAGGAGTTGCAGATTTCTCCTTTCATGGACAGCTCGTTGCACTTTATGGCAGTGGTTCTCAACTAGTGCTAGATACACTGCTAATGTAGAAGTAATCTAGGTGAGAAACAGAGTTTTTATAAAAATTACTAGGAAGCAGATTATAATCCATGAAAGCTCACACTGAAATCATTCTGTTAGATATGCCGCAATACTTTTGCTTTCTTTCTCTTCCTGTTAGATATGCCGAAACAGATTAACATAGTCAACTCTCTGAAAAATAAGAATTCACACTTGCTCAATCTTCATGTTCTTCTCCAAGTGCAGTGTGCTATCTCCTACTCTCTTACCTCCATGGACAAACTCTCTGTGACTTCTTAGCAACTTCTGGCAAACAGCATTTCTCAAAGCCCTCTGTTCCTCTGTCCACAATTTGCCAAAAAATATATGAAATGCATGAAAGGAGTGAGCTTTTTGTCTCCATCATGCAAGAGCTTGGGTTCTTTAAACAGAATGACTGGTAAGGCATAAAATCAAAACGTTGAAAACTTCTGCCTGTTGGAATATAACTCCTGAAGGTCTGCTAGTCTCTGAAACAACATATCAAAAGTCAGGAGAGGTGCATGAGAGAGGAAAGGTTTCAAATCCCTAATAATAATAATAATAATAACTGAATGCCATCAAGTCAATTCTGACTTAGGCCAACCCTTTTCAGGATTTTCTAGGTAGAGAGTACTCAGAGTGGTTTACCATTCCCTTCTTCTGGGGGCATCCTGGGACTGGGCAACTTGCCTAAGGCCACACATACTGGCTCTTCTGTGATGCACAGTGGGGAACTGAACACCCAACCTCTGGCTCTGCAGCCAGATACCTAACTCACTGAGCACAAATCTCAATCCATAGTTATATGTTTTAGAAACGTCATGTATCAAAACGGTCTCTATGCAGATTTACTATTCCATTCAGTGGATTTACATCCTGATCCAATAATACCGTGTGAAGACCTGCTCCAATATTAAACTATAAACACAGCAGAACAGGGCACACTCTCCCCTGTCTCCCCTTGTACTTCAACATACAGTTGTGTCTGATTCACAAGCATCACAACATGTTGCCAGATGCACCTAATAATAATCAGTGGGGCACAGCCTATCTAGAATGCATTTGAACTTGGCTGCATTAGTGCATTAAGATAGTGTGTACGTATGCCACTGTATATTAGTTCTCTAATGATCTCTGTAGAACCAAAACATCCCTAGGAATGATGACTTCTGGCTAAAAAAGGAACAAAATATGTGAAACTGGCAATATTTAAGGATATAACCAACACTCAAAAATGTTCTTGCCCCGATAAAAAAAACCATCAGCAGGTGCAAGATTTTTTGCTCTTGCATGAGAACAAAAAGATCAGCAGCATTAGCAAGTAAAAGTATTTGTGTGTGTGTGTGTGCAGACTAGGACCGTTTGATACACAATACAAATTCTTGCACAAAAAACACTTCCACAAATGTTTTGGAAAAAAAGTTCCCAAGTCCAAAGAAAATTAAAAAACCACTCATGATCTTGCCCAGCAAAAAGTATTGATTTTTTTTTCATTGCCACTCTTGAGAGCAAAATAAGCAAATATACTGTATGCATCTTTGATGATGAATTATCCAAGTGCCTATAGCGTCAGTGGAGATAATTGTTACTGCAACTGGGAGAAAAGTATTGCATTCATTTCAAAGCAAATCTCAAATGATGACTGATTCTATATAAAGTTGTGGTTCCCAAACTTGAGTTCTCCAAGGTTGGTGGACTTCAGCTCCTGGAAAGTTCAGCCAGAACACCCAATGGTCAGAGATATTGGGAGTAGAAATGCAACAGCATTTGAGGAGCTGAAGTTTGAAAACCACTACTCTAAAACAGGTTTGCTGTTGTTTTGCCTTCCGCCATACAAACAATATTGTGATGCATTCCCACTTTACCAGGATTGTTTTGCTTTCTACCATGCAAGCGCTGAAGCATGAAGCCTGTGCTCTTGATGTAATTATTCTCCTCACCCGCCCCTTTAAATGCACATCTTGCAACGATCAAGTTTGTCAGATCGGTTTAATGCCCCCACTGCATTCCCATTCTATGTATTCAAATCAGAGAAAACACACAATTAACAATAATAACAGGAATACATTTTTTTAAAAAAACATATTCCCCCACAACAAAGAAATTATGCCTTCACAGAGAATAATGGTTTTGCACAAAGGGCAATAAAAAGTGAGATAGAGAAGAGATTGCCTTTATTACAGTATCTCTAAAGTGTAAGAGAGAAAAAAATTCTCAAATCAGTCCATTATTTGCAAGGGGTCAATAGTTATACTGTACACTGAATTAACCTGAATGTCTATCAGTTAACATGAACTCCATGTGACATGCATAAAGTAATACTGTACATTTTTTTCAGAAAGCAAACAGATGTATTATTTTTTTTAATGGGGAGGAAAAATCCCAGTATTAAGGTTACAGTCCTGCCACCTCCTCATTTTAAGTGAGAATTAACCTCTTAGCTAGTTGATGTCTGGGAGCTTATTTTATAACATGCTTGGTGACCTCTGCTGGTGCCTACAACTGTAAGAGCTTCACCCTGCCTATCATCAATTGACTATGAAATCATTGTATTACAAAACCCCACAGACTGGCTGGCGAGACAGTGCCCCTAGTCAGTTATAAATATGCTGTTTTGTTTTGGCCAGGAGATGGGGGGGGCGTTGTTGCAAAGGCAGGCAGGAAATGGGAGTAAGAGAGAGTAGCTCTAATTCCTCTTGAAAAGGTCCCCCATCATTGCCTGCCAGTCCTGACCTATGTGATTAAGTTAGCTCTATCTAAATGAATGTCTGGGAAGAAGCAAGATCTGATATGGTCCTTGTCCACGAACACAGACAGCCACGCTACCCAGAAAACATGCGAGATGGTGCTGAAAACCTGATGGTCTGGTTTTTTTGGGGGGGGGGACGACGACAGTGGAGAAGAGAGTGAAGATCGCCTTTAACCGCTTCCTGTCCGGGCCCTATTAGGAAATGACAACGCACACCGCAAACACATACCCTGACGCGAAGCGCCGCTTTAGGGGGAAAGGACTCCCACGCACAGCCTACTCTGGAGGAGCTTCACTGAGGTCTCATTGAAATCAGACGAATTGCTCCCAAGTGCGGGATCTTGGGGAACTCACCCAGCCTCTGGCGAGGGATTAACCGAGGTTTCCTGACGGGGAATCCCTGTCAAAGGGCGAGTGCCGGCAAAAAGTAATCCATTGATTCCGAGCGCGCCCTGTGGAGTCCCATTGATTTCCACCCAGGAGGAGCACACACGTCCGCCGCAAACCGACCGGCCCACGGAGACCGCTTGCGGGAGAGTTTGCCGGCGGGGACCGACGACCCGAAGGAAGCTCCCACCAAGCCCGCGCGCCTTCGCTGCTGTCCCGGGTGCGCCGAGAGGCTTCCCTCCAGAGGACCAGGGGAGGGGAAAGGAA